GGGTAACCCACGGGTTAACCCGCGGGTCAACCCGTCCAAGTCTACCCGGGTGATCATAATCACAACCCGGATACCCGACCCACCCGGGTATACCCGGGTTGAAACACTAACCGGTTTGTTCATTATTAATTGTCACATCCTCTTATCATATAATTTATCACGTGATATATTAATAAATCGTTTAACACATTACTACAGTACTTATCTGTTACCTCAATTTCGATATACGTGCACCCACATCATGAGCAATATAATTGTAATATTCATAAAGTCTTTTTTATTTAAAAAAAATTGTGCGTAAATAAATTGGTATAATTAGAGTTGGGACTAGTGTTCCGCAAAAAAGAACCGGTATTTTTAATGGGTATGAAAGTGGCATTTTACAACGGGCACTCGAACTAAAACTGTACATATAATTGTCCGAAGGACATTACGGGAGAGCTGGTTGTATGTGTGTCCGCAAATTAAAGGGTTTGATTGGTTGATTGATAAAAACAAACTGACCCGTGATAAATCCTTCGGACCTTAAATGGTTTCCATTTACCTAGCGCTAGTTAATATGGAAAATACACTACCGACAATAGATACCTACAGCCAGTAACAGGCTTTTCAAACTCGCTACATAAATTGGATCTGGATGGATCCGATCCGAATCGACGGTTTTTGGAGGCCTGCTACTGGTGATAGACGCTTGAGAGAGACTAATAGAACCTGTTGCTAGTGGTTGTGTTTCTATATTAATTATATTTATAGATTCAGTTATGATACCCTTCGTGAAATGTTACATTCACATCCATTAAAAATACTGGAATCTTTTTTGCGGAACGCGTAAAATTTCTCAGGGAACAGTTTTCGTCTTAACGCATTTCTTACTATCCTAGTACTGTTCTTTACTATCAGTGTAAAATTTAAATTGAAACTACAAATTTTTCCAGATAATGCAGGATAATGTAAGGAGTACGAAGATAACTCGATTCAGATTTCTTTTATAATATCTACAGTAGTTCTGATTATTGTCACTCAAAATTATGTATCACTTTTTATGACAAAAGACAAAGAAATTTTTCAATAGTCTTTTATTTATTGTTATTAACTATATACTTTGTTAAAGTACAATACCCTCTTATCATTATTTTTAATAAAAAAAAATTTTTTTGTTGGATATTTTAGAGCAATATAATCACGGGACAGCTTTTGGAAATTTAAATATAATATAGTAATATGATAAGCCAAAAAAAGCCACAAAGGCGTGAAATTTGTCCACATAAGTTTGTAACAAAGCAAGACAGTTTAAATCGATTAACTCGATAAAGCATTAAAAAACTTGTATTTCCAGTATTCATTTTGTACACTTTTAGGAGCATATAAAAAAAAACTTAAAATTATACAGATTGTCAATTATAGAATTACACAATACTACGATAGGTTAATTCGATAATCTGTTCATCACTGATCAGAACTGATTAAAAGATTACGTAAACAATACAATAAACTAGCTCTTTTCTTCGAACTTCTAGAACTGTTACATGAAAATTCTATTAAAATGAATCATCAACTTGTTTAACTATTTACGGTAATTAACTCCTGGTTTTCAAACGTTTCACAAAATGTAAACATCGGAACCTAAAGTCTATTTCGTAATTGTAACGTAATACTATACCAAAGAAATCTTTAAACTTTTACCAATAAAAGTTTTGGGAATATCAACAAATTAGATTGACTCGACATTTTTCGAACGTACGTACGTATACGTACGTACGTACAGTACATATTTACGCATAAACATAAAACTTACAGTTAATAATGTTAATTATGAGATTTTATCATTACATGACTACGTATAATCAAGTGACAAATCATAATTATTACAGATACGTATAATCAACATAATTACAGATACGTACGTACGTATGTACGTATAATCAAGTGACAAATCACAACCTACGTACGTATTTTAACATATATGAAAACGTATGCATAATGCAATTCCGAAAATCGGATTTCGGATATTTAGCTATAAGCGTATCGGGTATTAAAATGTATGAAATATTACGTATTAATATTATTAATAGTATCAACACCATATAAGTGGATTAATCGATAATAATGCGTATTAGTACTGTAGTATGTATTACGGCGGACGAAAAAAATGAATTAAATGAATTTCTCGGCGAAAAAGTTTGTTCTAGCCAAAGAATTTAGAATTATGTATAATGTATTGAAATTAATCACATGTTTTAAATTTAATACGTACGAAAAAAATTTCGTGACATATTATACAACATGTGATAATAACCACTAGATTTTGCATCACCAAATTACCAGTAACTTATTAATTTAATCTCGTATACTCTGTATATTGGTCAAACATATTAAGGAAAAGAAGAAATTAAGAAATTTAGTACAAATCACAATTTATTTACTTGACTTTGAACATAATGTTTCACTAAAAAGCACGCGAATTTTAAGAAATTTATGTGAAAAACAAAAAAAATTTATTGATTATAATCCATGCACGTTATAATCGTAACGTGGTCAGTGCGGATCAATTAAAAACATAATTATTTTTGAAAAAAACAAGTCCTTATGGTTTTTTCTTTTTGATAAACAATGCAATTTTTAACTTACCAGATATCATATGTAACGTTATTTTTATTAACAATATAAACAAAGGTTTTTAGTAATATATATATTTTTATTAATGTTTTTATTTTATTTATTTTAAAAGAATACTAATTATGTGCAAAAGTTACTCCGCTTAATTAACCGATAATTAACCGATTAAATATTCTTCATTCAAGTTAATAATAATTTTGTATGAAAAATAAAAATGAGATTATGATTATACGGAATCGATTACCGTCATATAGTGAATATTAAGAATATTCTAAATTTACCTATTTTTAAAAATTATCATATTGTCATAGTCAGAGAAATAAGGATTATGAATGAAATTAATTTATTAATATAAATCTTGAATTAACTAGAATTTTGTATTTTATATCATTTAAATCAAATCATTTTCTTTTTTAAGGTAAAAAATAAGCCATTTTCACGGGACGGTTTTGTCCGAAATGGATGGTTGTCTCCGTACTATATCTAATATCAGATATGTGCGTACGTACGTAAAATCTTATTTGACACAATACCTACGTAAAAAGTTCTACGTAAGAATAATACGTACGTATGTGCGTACATACATAAAATGCGGAGTTGCGTAGTTGCAAAGCCTTTTAAAAGCCCTTTCAAAGCCCGAAGGCTATGAATTATTTAATAGTAGAATTTGTATACCCAATGATCTTTGACTGGCGTCCTTCAATTACTAAACAAGGACTGTAGAACTAAACAAGGGCTTGTAGATTTGTTTTTACATCTTGTTATAAATTTTTCACCGGCCAAAATTATACGTATCTTCGTTTTAGGTATCAATAATTTTAATTGTTTTAATGTGACAAAGGGATATTGCGTAAAATAGGAGCTTTGTATCAAACTTCATAGTTTACTGTATTGCAGTATTGCACAGTATTGCAGTAATGCGAAACTAAACTCCGTAAATTGATTTTTCGCAAATGTCAATGTGATTGGTTTTGTGTTACCATATGTTGTAGATCTCACTTTCTGTGTAGAAACTTTGGAATGTTCATTTTTTTATTTCTACAATTTGTACGACAAATAAAAATAGAATATAGAATAAAATGATGGAATATATACGTATGTATATATAGTAAATTTAAATATAAACAGATAAATGATTTTTAAAATATAAATACTCGTATTTTCATTCACCTTCTTTCAACAGTTGAGTTTTCAAAAAAGTCTTTACTGATAAAAACTAAATACGATAATTCGGATAAATAAAAAAAAATTCGTATTACTATCCAATTGATACACAATTTAATCAAATAAATAAAAAAGATGTCTCAAAATTTTTTCTCTGATAGCCCCGCTATATGTATTTTCCCTGATAATGCTATATGTGAAGAACCTACGGATTTGGAAGAAAGTACTTTGGAATTTTTCGTTCCATCTATATTAGATCGTAAAATAGAACGTCATCGACAGCGTCGTGCTATATGCGAAAGAGCTGGCCGTTTACAAAAAACCAGTATTTCTGGACTCGGTCCCAGCAGTTCAAGTAGCAGTAGTTCTAGCAGTTCAAGTAGTTCAAGTAGTTCTAATGGTTCTAATAATGCTAAAAGTTCTACGTGTTCACCTAGTTCTTAACTATGAACGTTGTTCCTCTTAAATTTGGTGGTCCGATCCTGCTGTTTCGCTACAAAAAAAAATAAATAATAATAATTATCCATTTGGCGAATGACATGGTTAGGTTACCTATCACGTTTTTGGGTGGAGACTTCTACATATACCAAAATATTTGGAAAATATGACTGCTGGTGGTGGTGATTGCTATTACACAGTATAATTGTTGTTGTTGCCATTATCACTGTTATTAATACCAATGAAATAGTAGAAATACCGTTTCGTCCGCGCTATGACTACGAGGTCGCTTGATCATGAATTGTAGGATTGTTACATTTGATCTGTCTGGTTTTTTTCGTGAGAACATGTTGTATTGAGAAAGATTGAAAAAAGATTTGAAAGAAAAAAAAAAAACATAAAAATACAAAATCATTTTATTTCTTGTAAATTTTTTATAAACATATTTTTCAAGTAATTTTTTTGCACAATAATATTTTCATTTGTAAAATTTTTAATCATTTTAATAAAATGAAAATTAATCATGACTGTCAACATAAAATTTAATCGCGTTTAAAAAGTATAACAAATTATATATCTGTAAATACATATAAAAAAATTCGCATGACAATATGATAATAACGATAACGATAATAATTTATGATTTAAAAAAATTTTCAACGAAACTAAAATGTATTTTCGTTGGATTACAATTAGTCATTTCCACCACTTTCTCTTTTTTTTCATTCAAAGGCAGTGAAACAGTAAATGAACTTAACACATGATAATGTGATTCTTTGTACATGGGAACTTCATCACAAGAGTTTATTTTGTGGTCATATTTTTCAGCGCTAGCCAAATTTCTGTTAAAAGTAATATCACAGAATAATCTTTAGAAAATGACGTGATATATATATACCCTGATACTGTATAACTGATAACATACGTACAGTAACATACGTAAGTAATTTCTAATGTTTATTATTATTTATCTTAACCACCCAAATTTATTTGCCTATGCATGTGATCAATTTACTAATTTTCATTGGTTGATTCAAATTAAGAAAAACGAATTAATATATATCTGATATCAATATTTAGACAAATGTGATATTGATCTACATCAAAAGAATACGTATCTAAAATAAACTCTGGCTCTTATTAGCCTAGCGCCAGCACAGAATGAATTTCTTTTTCTAATGTCAAAGGCAAAAATCTATGATCTCATCTTATTTAGTACTAATTTATTTTATTTATGGTTTTTTTATTTATGTACATATAAAGGTTTGGAATTTCCCTACTGCTAACCCCGTTAACTCCTCCCCGTTAAATTCGTACACTTTCATAGATGTTTAACTGATAGATGTATTACATACACAATTTTGCCCGCGTGCATCTTTAAACAATAAAAAAAACATTAATAAATTACTTATTTTGTGAACCACCCCCTTAATGACCCTATTAATACGTATATGTTTCATTTAAATATATTTTCTTAGAAAACAAAAATTTTATTACTTGCTTTTTGTTATGATTATTAGTATGAAATGATTAAAAGAAATAATTGTACGTAGTACAAAATTTTATTTTTTTATTATATATTTATTTATTAAGCTAAATAAAAAAAGTTGTACGTAATACTAGAAATAGATCGAGTTACTGCACGCCGCCGGGTTACTCTTAATTGGTAAGTTTATGCGATTGGTTAATTTTTAAATAATGCTATACATATCATACATATCATACATATAATACGAATGTTTAATTTTCAGAATAACTCCAATCACGTATGTACGTACTGTACGTACGTATGTACGTACGTACATACTTAAGTGTAAAGTGCCACTATATGTACATATAACGATAAGCTTTCATATATGTAGATAATGCAGATAGCAATTTTGGAATATTTAAAAAACAGGGTTCAATTACGCAAACATACAATAAGTGTTGGTTCCTGAAAGCCATTTTTCCGTAGTGATGTTAAGTGGTCCACGGGGAACTAGTTTGGACCAGGTCCAAACCCGGGACTAGTAGGACTAGTTGAAAACTGGTCCTATAATCTTGTGATCTCAAGGTCGTTTAATTGGCTAATTTATGTCG